CCCCCACTCCACACTTCTCAATAGCAGATGGCATCGATTCCTTTTTATTTTCCACAAATTAAATAAACTCACGGGTTACTGACCCCAAAGGGCTATTTTGAGCACATTTTGGGGCCGTCACTCCATGTGGATTTAATCAGTTTCTGCTCGGTACATAAAGCGAGCTCGTAAAGTCAGTATTAAGGCCTGTAAATGTGGTACTGATCTGTAAAAAATAAATAAAATGCAGTGTCTGTAACAGAGATTATATGCCACACGCCGTCAGGTCCCTGCGCAGTGTAAGCTGCAAGGATCTCTGCAGAAGTCCCCTTCCTGTTTAGGTCAAACTGTACCGGGAGCTGCAATATACAGTGACGATGGGAGCTGGCTGGCCCCTACGGTGGTTCATGCATACATGGTGTCGCTGTCACAGGGCCGGACCAACCATTTTCAGGGCCCTAAGCAAAATTTGATTGACCTAGTTTTCATTCTGACAGGCTGGTCAGATGAGGGCGCCCCCTGGTGGCCACCGGGCTCTAAGCAGCCACTTTATTCACGGATTGCCAGTCTTATCCAGAAAGGGCCGTTGTGTGTGCGGGTTTTCGCTGGACCTCCCTAATAGGTTACTAATCCGAGGACTGATTGCACACCTGGGTTTGAACAGCTGCCTTAAAGGTTGTCCCCAGAACGTGCACATACCCCTGACTGTTGCCTTTAAGGAGGTCATGTTTACTTTTAATTAAATAAATGTGACGTCCTGAGGTTCCTGAAGCTCTGTGAGCTGTTAGTGTGGCGGATAAAGGTGCGGGTTTGTGAGCCCAGCTTTGCCGGGGCCCTAGGGCATTGGGGACCACGGGGGAGGAAACACGTTAAAACAACAGGCGTTTGGGTGAAGGTTAAATGAGGAGCGGCAAGCTGTAGCTTTCAGATGGTGAAGATGAGCAGCTGCGGCACGTCAGCGAGATTATCAGCCGCTGTTTGGCTCTTGTTCGGCGCGAGTCGGAGGCCGTGCCTGCGGACGGCGGCGAGAGGAAGTCCCGCCCACTCCATCAGACAGAATGGCGTCCAGGCGAATGGTGCTTGTTGGCTGAAGAGGAAGTCCCGCCCACTCCATCAGACGGACTGGCGTCCAGGCGAATGGCGCTTGTTGGCTGAGCATGAGCCGCGTCTCATTGCTGTTTGCTAACACCTTCTTCTCTTTTTTCTGTTTTCCAGTTGTCAGATCATACTAACACTGAGCACAGCCCCCCCCCCGCAGTGCCTCATGCTCTCTGGGTCTCACTCACTGCATCTTGTGTCCCCAACCCGCTCCCCCCCCCCCGCCTACCTCCTTCACTCTCTGCAGGAGCACGCCGACCACCATGCCCCTTCTGGTTTCTACTGCAGTAACCAGGCCCCCCCCGTGCCTCGCTCGCCCCTCCACCCGGCAGCGTCCCCGCCCTGCCACCAGCGCTGTGGGAACGCCCTCACTTGCCCCCCAGCTGGGTCCCCACAGCCTGGCCTGGGACAGCGAGGACTTCACGAGCCTCCTGCCCCGCTCGCGGCTGTCCCTGCCGGAGGCCGCCGTTCGCCCTCGCCCTGGAGACGCCGCGTGGTAGAGGCCCCGCCTCCCCCGGCGCCGCCTGGCTCTGTGGACGCAGACTTGCCAATCACACAAGTGTGACCCCACTTGCCCACTTTCTGATAGGCCGTCACCAGGCCAGCATCACGGTGGGGGTGGAGCAACCAGTAGGTGTATATAAGCAGCCGAAGAGAGGGACAGAGGACAGAAGGTGGACCGGACCACTCTGGACCTCTTCAGAGGGGGCTATAGGTGTGGCAGTGCAGAGTGGATTCCTCCTTTCTCTTATTCTGCTTTATTCCAAATTCACTTCATCTGGGTCCTTAATCTTAGGTCACAGGGCAGTGGGACGACTGCACCTTCAGCTCCTGAGCGTTTTTATTATTTTATTATTTCTTGTAATTCTTTTTGTGGTTGTTTTGGTATAAACCAAGCAGTGCTGTAAGAAAAAAACCTCATGTGGTACTGGCGCACGTTTAAACAGTGACGTTTTAACCCAAAGATTTCTGCAAACGTGTCATAAATCTGTTTCTGTCATTCAGTGTTTCGCAGTGCGATCCTTTGGGACCCACAGTCGGTCCATGTTTGTGCTCCCTCCCTGCCAGACAGCTGGGAGACAGCCGAGAGCTGGAAGGGAGCAAAAACATGGACTGTCTGTGGGTCCCCGGGGACTGCATTTGGAAGCACTGCTCAGATTTATGACCTTTTTTTTTGGGCTTCTGGGACGTCCAGACACTCTGAGTCATTTAAACATTGGACAGGTTGTAGGGAAGCAATGCCCAAGTCGTCATGCCTGTGAATTTACTCTCTGAATCTGTAACACTAAATGTAACGCCGCGGCGACCTTGATGAAAATGACGCATTTCTGTGCTGTCACCATTCTGTCCCGTTATGTTTTGGACATTCGCCGTAGGAATCGTAGGCACACAGCGAGAACGACTCACACCACTCTGGATTTTCTGTGCGACCGCCTGTCTCCGGTTGGCATTTAGTGTTGGTTTACTTACACTAAAATGTTCTGAGGGCAGAAGGAAAAATGATTGGTTCAGAGAGATTACCAATTAGACTGTGGAAGAGGTGGGTCCAACCAATCAGATGTCTTAGCCCCGCCTCCTTTTTTTTTTCCTTCTGCCCTCAGAACATATTTGTGCAAGTAAAACTCCCATGAGCTCCACACTATCACTAAATGTCAATCGTGTTCACCACTAATAGGTCCCCAGGTAGTGCTTTTGGTCACCCTCCGTCAAGGCAGCTGCACCCCCACGCTGATGTGTGAGCTTTTTCAGAGAGGGAGAGAGAGAGTGCAGACCCAGGGGTTTTGTGGGGAGAGCTGGTAATATTAGCTGTAGCCATAGCTGTATTTTTTTGTGAATATATTTTAGCACAGTTTTAATGAGGTTAGTTTCTGTTTGTTGGGGTGGGGGTGCATTTTTGTGCCTGATTGGCTCCGCCCTTCGCTGTGATTGGCTCCGCCCTTCGTTTTTTTAGTCGCCTGTGACTGTTGCACAACTTCCAACTGTATAGCTGTAAAGTGCCTGCATTCTTTATATATAAAACAAGCTATTTTAATCCTGTTTTTTTTAAATACTATAACTGTGTAACGCATCCTCAGATAAATGTGCATTATTTATTACTCAGAGTTTAAAATAAATCAGTGAATCTCTGATATCTGTGTCCATCTCATCACGCATGATAGCCATTTTAAGGGCTTTTAGTTGGTGTTTTTTTTTATCTCATTGCCTCATATTTGCAAATTTTAAGATGGCTGGCGGTAGCGTGCCGTCTTTCCTGTCAGTTGTTCCGTAGAGGAAGATGAGAGGGGGATCTTTGGTGACGCACTGCCATCTAGTGTCTAAGGGAGGACAGACCCCATGACTGTCTGTTTACCACACGTTTTATTTGGCCATTGCACCGTTCAAAGATAATATAAATATTTAGTAATTATCATTTTTCCACAGCTGTTTATTTACTTGACATTATTGTGCTTCATAATCTGCATAATGAGTTTACACCTCTTGTGTGCTTCCAGTCTGACTCTTCGATTTTGTTACACTGCCCCCTGGTGGGGGCTTTCTGCTCTGACTCCAGAGTCATCTTTTCCCTTGTTTCCAGTTGCATCCGATTTCTGTAGGTGTAAGTGCTTCTGCATATAGATTTGCAGCAATCCCGACTTTCCCCAAGGGACAATAGGGCATTAGACAGCGTGTCCATTGCAGAGGGAATTAATTTACGTGAGATCATGCATTTTGGATTGTGGGTGGAAACCTATAGATCTGGACACTCAGCTGTGAGCATTTCTGCACAATCTAGTAGCCCTGACTCCTGGTTCTCTTCTTCTGCTTGCAAATCAGCAGAGTGTGCCTCTGAAATGACTTTCAATGTGAACTATATTTTCACAAGAAGTTCACACTTCTGGTGGTGTGACGTCTTCCTTTAAACTTTCCACGATGGATGATAAATCTGTCAGACTCATTCCCCAGGAGGCCTGCTTACATGAAGGCAGGCCATCCCATCCCTTTCTGGCAGACCTACCAGCTAATTCGTCCCTATTATCCAAAAAAGTAATTACTTGGTACTGCAGGCAGACAGCTATGATCTGCCGTCATTTTTATGTGAATAAATGAATTTTGGTCAGATCCTTGATCTGAGGTCTTTCTGTCCTTCCTGTGTCTTTATGAAATGTAAAGACCTTCCTGCAAAAAGGGTTTTAAAAAAGGGTTAGGGTAGCAGAATGTGAAACAGCAGCATCAATTATTCAGCACAGCTGCAGAGCGTTGTGGTTCTGAGGGCGCGTGGTACTGACTCATCACGGAGAGCTCCCGGCCGATAGCAGCCTTGGACCAGACAACAAGCCCCTCTCCCTTTGGCCATCAAGTCCGCCCACCGTTTCGCTCTTGAAATCTCTGTTCTCCCCATTATAACTAAAAATAAAATGAAAATATCGAAGAATGTGCGATAAATTTGTTGGTCATAAATATCTTTAATATCATGGAAAAGGGTCTTTGTTTTTTTTCTTTTTGGAACAGTTACTGTGGAACTGCATGTTTATTAAAGAAGTGAAATTAAGGACATGAATGGAAGCGTGTTCATCTCAGGTCATGTGATTTTTTTTTCTTTGCTTTTGTAAAAGCTATAGAAACAGAGGTGGAGCATGTGTCATGGCAGGTCTGAAGCTGTTTGCTGGATACGCACATAAACAGAAGCAGTTGGCAGATATCACATAGTGCACTTAATGCCCCCCCCCCCCAATATCAACCCCCTGCCTAGACACGCTGCAGATCTTCAAAAGCGCTTCGGAGATAACCTTGCAAGAGCAGGTTAGTGGTTCTTGGGGCCTGGTTTTCCGCTGGTGTTCTCACTGGTAGTTTTGGGATGCTGCAGGTCACTGCTCTTCCTAATGAGGACCAATGACATGCAAAGGTGATGTCACAGTCTTCCTGGGGGAGTTACATAAGAAGAGGACAGTGATTGGATGGAAAGTGTCTGTAACCACAACAATGGCTGGGGGAGAAACAGAGACTCTGTTCACTGATTCCCCCCCCAGCCGGTGCCTGGCGGCATCGTGGCCTGCTTCCGTGTCATGCTTGCTGGGGTGGGGCCACTAGATCTCTGACTGGAGATCCTCCACGATGAAGATGATGATGATGATGGCTGGAACAGCCGAGCACATTACATCAAACTGAGCGTGACTCGCTCACCTTGCCGCCAAGCCACCTCGGGGTTCCCCCGTGTCCCAAAACGAGCCCATCGTCCGGGACGTGGACCAATCAGATCCCTCTCACAGCACACCGTAGAACAGTGACCTGACTCCTGTACACTGCACCATCCTAGTCAGTTAATCCTCATTTTAACTCATTTCAGCTATGTTTTGGGGGCCAGACTGATTCACGCCAGACGCTTTCCTGTGCTGCTTTTCGGGATCTCATAAACAGCCAAGTCTGCAGTCAAGGGACCCCGACCGCATCAAAAATATGTCAAGGGCCGTAAATCTCATCAAACAAATGAGAAATAAATGAGGATTTAGAGGGTCTATGTGACACCGAGGGGTCAGCAAGGCCCCAAAAGGGTTCTGAGCTGTGGTTGTAATATTTTAAAAATAATGTGGGGAGCTCAGAAGCTTTGTGAGGTGGTGGCTTACACTTTGGTCAAGCTGTGGAGGCAAAGTGGGACATCACAGGAGACAAAGAGGGGGGTTATATGAGCTGGGAACTTTGACAAGCCCTAGCTGTAGAAATGAATTAGTGCGCTAAGGTACTTCAAGCATGTGCCAAACACTGCTCCCTCCTGATACAAAAGACCCGGTAAACTGTAACCAAAATGCACGGAGACCTCAGCTGTTGCTCTGGCACTCCTCCAGCAGAGTGGGCGGAAAGATCTGGCACGCTTATAGCACTTGCCCGAGTCCTTAAAAAAATAATGATGCCAGTTTAAAAGGCTTTAAACAGATGTGTTGGCAGCTTGACACCTGTTCCCAGATCAGCAAAATGGAAAGGGATCGCCAGATGACCCTTTATGTCTATAAACCAGCACAGTGACCAAAGACCAGTGAATTGGGAATCAAATCACGGCCTTCTGCCTGTTCTAGACTTGGGAGTCTCGTCAAATAAACCCTGATTAATGTGTCTTATCACAGAAGCTCTGCCGACTGAACTGCAACTGACCTTCTCTTGCTTCCAGTCCCTCAGTCCCTTCAGCTCCAATCCCCACCAAAAAAAAAATTTAAAAAAAGCACATTGGATTCATCTTCTTCCATGCACCAAATCTCGTTGAATCACCATATTACTTCAATGGCAGAGAACACGGGTTTGTTCCCAATGTGCTAATCCAGTTGATTTTGTTCCTGCCAAAACATCGCACTCAATCTACACTACTCAAACCGTAAACAAATATTATGCTGACTAAGAAACAGTGACTGTCTGAATTAATCACGGGTGACTGGATTTCAAATATTCTGTCCCAAGGTTCCCAGAAATCAAAATCTAAGCAGTCAGATACGCTTAGGTGTATACAGAAATGAATCAGTGCACTCGCGCCAACTCGAAATGCCCCTCGCTGTTGGTCACAGTCGAGGAGGACGCCAGATCCGGTTTTTAGGTTGGTCCAAAGTGATATTGTCGGGATTTTGGTGAGTCACATTCGATCGGAATTGTTCGTAACTGCTTTTTGGAATAACTATCGAACAAATATCAGGGGAAGGTGACTCATTTGTCCTGGTTTGGGGGGAGGTCCTGGTGTTCTTGGAAACCAGCCCACTTACTTAAATGCAACCACTATATATATATATATATATATATATATATATATATATATATATACCCATTTAAAAATTATCAGTGGCCTGTGAGTGACATCAGAGACGTGGCAGGTGTGTAGATGTGTGGCTGATGTTATCCATGAATCTTCCATCACCACCAGTACAGGATCATGGTGAGCCTGGAATCTATCCCAGGAAACACTGGGAACAGGACAGAGGAGCAACCTGCACAGGAAGCGCCACGATTCGCTCAGAGACATCGTCTGACCCAAAAAGAAGTCTTTGGGCTGCAGGCAGAAAATGGAGTGCTGAAGGAAACTCACACAATCACAGGGAGAGCATGCAGGATCCCCACACCCAGGTAGGGAGAGTGAACCCACAATCAGGGAGGTGTCAGGCTACAGCGCCATCTAGTGGATATCACGATGATTCAAAAATTAGATCATATGAACTAATAGATGTGTTTATTATACCGGCTGTGAAGGTCCAGGCTAAGACACCAACCAACAATCCTTGGAGCCAAGACTATGTGGGCTCGTTAAGGCAGAGCATATGTTTTACCTTTTGGGCTAAAGACAATGGTTTATGTGAATTTTAACAGTGATTATCCAGCTATAACAGTAAATGCTTACAGTTGTAAGATACTCCTTCCTGGAGGGGCACACCATGCTGGGTGTATCCTGCCGCGGTTTCCCCCAGACTCGATCCAGCTAACCACTCCCTGAACTGGATTTGCGCCTGATTGGAAATGGATGGATAGATGTAAACAGGACTGACTGACAAGTAACTCCCAGAAGAGTGCGGGACCAAAGCACTTTATTGCATGTGACAGATACTGAGACACTGAGTCATGCATGTCTCTGCTTTTTTATGAGGAGGGAAAAATGCAAAGGACTCAACTTGGAGGCAGAGACCAAATCCCGTGAGCTCAGCTGGACGGAGCAGCAGAGACTTGGTGACACCTGTAGAGACCTGGGCAGAATGTGGGGAGGGGGGGGGGGCGAGGGGGTCCTCTGGGGTGTGCTCAAAACACGGTCTACAGAGCAGGAACGCACCAGACGGTGTGCGATTCCTCAGCCAAATGTCCGAGAAGCTGAGCTGTGAATGGAGAGAATTACTGTAGAAAGCAGATTTTTGGCTCAAAGTACGATGTGTCCTGAGGTGACTGGAAAGTGTCCCTTTTGGGCTTGAAAGCTAAATGTTTCAAGCTGTAACACCTCCAGCACAGGCAACCCAGTGTGTGAACAAGCCAAGGGGCGGCAGGTTGCATTGTGGGTAAAAATCTGAACAACTAACCCAATTCCAAAAAAAGGGCGCTGCTATTGTAGTATTAAGAATAAGAATGAAGTATCATTATTCTTTTCATAATCTGAATCAAGTAATAGAAGATATCCTAGAGAGTAGTTCATTCACAGCGATATAAAGTTGCGTTTACATAAGAAACTATTATAACAGACAAAAAAATCTGTGTAATTACAAAACTGGGCGTCAACCTCATTCAAAGGTCACTGCAAAGCGTTCGGATATTCTATAAAGATATTATTTCCGAACGTCGTTAGGTACGAAAGAATACGCTTATAAACAAAAAGGCACACTAAAAACACAGCAGGAAATCAGTCATGCCAAATACAATTAAAAATCAAGTCGACTTCCGTGGAAACACTCAGTGGGTTCTTTACTTTCTGTAGATATACGACATATAGAGGACACCTTTACCGTGTTTAACCTGTAAATGTTCGCAAATGGTAATTTTTTTACTGCTTTACTAAGTGACGTCATTTTACATAGGGAAAAAGACCGTTTAATACAATGAAATGAAGTTTACCAACTTTGGTCAGCTGGCTGACGTGAGATTTTAAAATAAGATAAGATACGAAATCTTTATTGTCATTGTCACTTGACAACGAAATTGAAAAATGCAGTCGACTCAATGTGAGGCATAAGAGTAATAAAAGAACATATTAAAAATATACAAATTGCACTTTTCAATTCGAGACAATTCTTCTCACGCAGTTACATGTCATGTATGTAACAGTTTTATTGCCTTGAAGGGTTTGCAAACAACCCCAACGTTTTAAACGTATCAAATTTTAGGTTTATAATGGAATAATATAGATTTGCCTTAAGACGTGAGAGTAAGAGTCTGAAAGCGTGAGTGTCACGCCGGATGCCTGAGATTTGGCATCCCAAGAAATACTGAAGATGGCGATTTAGAAGCATGAGGTAAAATCTAATCTTATCAATGAAATACTGCAGATGGTGACTTAAAAAGTCGACGAGCGGGGGTGTGGTTTCATCGCTCCCTCCCCTTTCACGCGTAACGGCAGCCCACCAATCAGAGGGCTTGTTTATATTGCTCGCACCGCCCCGTGATGTTGTATCGCGGCCCGAAGTTTATAAACCTGTCATCAGAGAAACGCAGAAGTGCGTCTGAAGGATTGGCGGCGAGGTTGCGCTTCAGCAAAGCTAGTCACAGTAAATGCGGCTCTATTTTAAGGCGATTTATATTAGCGTATGTTTATTTATTGTTTCTAGTGCATGCCTTTAATTTTACCGTAGTTTAAATAAGCTTGGATTCTGCGTGTCAGTATTATATATAGTTCTCATTAGAATTAATATTATTTGATCATGATTTGGGTAGTTCTCTGTGCCGGTCTAATTTGCACACCCCTTCTGGCCAGCGCTAATCTTTCTAAGCGGCACGCTATCGGTTGCTCTGAGCGCTGTGACAAATCGCTATGCCCCCCAATCCCGGCTGACTGCCTGGCCGGCGACATCCTGGACCAGTGCGACTGCTGTCCGGTGTGCGCCTCTGGCGAGGGCGAAATCTGCGGAAGATTGGGCGACCCGGAATGCGGGGAGGGCTTGGAGTGCTCGGTCAGCGACGGCGTGGGCTTCTCCGCCACGATCCGGAGGAGGGCGAAAACCGGAGTGTGCGCGTGCAAAAGTGCCGAACCGGTGTGCGGCAGCGACGGAGTTTCCTATCGCAACATCTGCGAGCTGAAGCGGGTCAGCAACCGGGCTCAAAAGCTCCAGCAGCCGCCTGTTATCTTTATACAGAGAGGAGCCTGCGGTAAAGGTAAGCCAGGAATAGCGCATTCTCCTCCACCTTTTGTTTCAGATGAACTCATCTTTGTTCGTTTTTCCTGCAAGAAAAATCTGGTTTGTCGCAGAACTCTTTGGAGAACTAATTTAGACCATTACATATTCTAACATTTAAATGCAAAAGACATCTGTGAATCTGAGGCGACTGAGAGTACTGCTTCTTTTAACCGTAGCTCTCCATAACTGCGTCGGTGCAGGCAACAGTACGACACTGAGTGATGTCGGTGCGTGATACCGGTTTTTACAGAGATTATTATTCCTTAATTTATCAGATTTACAAATGCATTCTTCTCCTAAGTAGGCTGTGTGTGCACTGTGCTGCGGCACTAATGCGGGAAAACGTCTGCCCTAGATGTCTCTCCTTTCAGCCCTGGATTACATCATTGCAATCGGACATCCTTAATATGCATTTGGTACGGTTCCCAAACATACCCCATAACCTTGCCATAGAGTCAGAAATGTTCAGCAAAGTTTCCACCCCATAACGATGTGGATCTTATGCGTCGACACTCCGCATGGTGACACTCAAAGTGGAGCGTTTTTTTTTTTTTTTTTTTTTTTTAAATTATAGCTTGAGGAAAAGCAAACCCTCCAAAATTATAACTTGTTAAATAGGTTAAGTGCAGTTTGGGTCATCTGTAAATTCTGTCTCTGATTATATTGAGATCAGTCACTTAAAATTGCTTTGACTGTCTGGGTCACTCGGGACATACTGGACTGGCCTCCCAACTTTTAAAATGCGGGAAAATATTTTCTCTTTTCTTCAACTGTGCATTATTTGTGATGCGTCGGAAGACTGCCTTTGTTCATCAGCTGACAGACCAGATGAACAGTTACTTCAGGATTTTTGAATCACTAGACATTTTGGATTAAGTCACATACATTGTGTCTTTTAATGTTGATGAGAAAAATTGTAACAGATACTAGCCAAGAAACAAGAAGCCGTCAATTAAAAAAAATGTTTTGAATGGATTTTCAGCGATTTCTCGTTGGTGCAGAAATTCTTGGGTCTTATTTCTACATGCGGTTGCCACTATTGGGGGATGGATAGTGTGTGGCTCAGGTAGGATGCTATGCTTTTGCTCAGAAGGTCACCGGTTCAAAACCCAGGGTCAGCAGATTGACTGGGCTCCCTTGCAAAGCCGTCATTACTACAGGGACTGACTGACCTTGCTTTCATTTATGCATCACATTGGATAGAAGGTTCTGTTAAATAAACAGAAAAACAGGTTATGAAATGTCCATATTATTAAAGTGAGGAACTCTGTAATGCTCAGCATTTCCTTTTGAAACCCTGCAGGTCACTGACCTCCTCAGTTCATATGTGTAGCTGTTTGATTACCAGTAAAGCGGTTGCTATAAACACCTACTACGTGCTCCTCACTGCACTGGCTCGGGTCGTTTCAAGCCCAGCTGGGCTGTAGTTTCTTATTTTTTATTATTTCAGCAGGATCAGAGCTTCATGACAGAGCCAGCTGCTCTGGACCACTTTGCCTGTGCAAACAAACATCAGTTTCTGGGGCCTCTGTTATGAAAGGCGAGGGATGAATGGTGGCCAGGCAGCCATGTCAGCAGAGAGGAGGGTCGACCTGCATTGCAGGCAGAATCTGCTCACCGCTTCCCCTCAGCTGGCCCAGTCTGGTTTAAACCCCATCTCTGATGAGTCAGTCTGGTTTAAACCCCATCTCTGATGAGTCAGTC